TCTATCTATGAGTATGTCATGATCTATAGTGCCGAACGCAGCACTAACTAGCAATGAGATGCAGCCTTGGTCTGATGCAAGAAGCAAATAAATTGGTAATTTTAACAAGTGCCGTTTCTGTGCTATGATGGGGTCTGAAACCTGACTGAGATATTAATGTTAATATGGCATATACAAAGGAGTAGTAGTAGAATTTTTCTAATATAAAAATAAATAAAATATAAAAAATGGTTGAAAAACAAATATATAAATAAATGAATTACAAGGAAAGAGTAGGAATAGAGGAAATAAGAAATTGATGTTAAATAAACCATCCATAACAATAAAAGTAGGTGGCAATATGGAAACAGAATGCAATATAGGCAACCTAAGTAAAAGAAAAAGAAGAAGAGTAAAAGTGAAAGTAGAAGAAGGAAGTATGGAGGATATCGGACCCAACACAAGATTATTTATTGAAAAAATGTTCGTGCTTGTGTATTTGTTGTCATGCTTGACATTCGTCAGAGCAGGTAGGATAGTTTACTGTCTGATACCTTGCACAGTTTCAACTGTTTGTTATTTATGGTCACAAATGGTTTTAAATGTCTGCATATTAAATCCTATTGACCGCTTAGGTCAGCACAGATTTTCACGTATTAAGTGAAAACTACTATAATTAAAACTACTGCATGTAATGCTGTAAAATGTACACAGCTATTACACGGGAATCTAGAAATACAAACCACAGATGTACACATCAATCAACCTCTAGAGATCACTGTCTGGGGGTACTGCAAATCTGTTTTGAAACAATATTGATTGTGAAAAGCACTATACAATTTAAAAAATGACTCATTGTCTCATTTATCATTTATTGTATTTCTATTTGACAACTTTTTATGTCTTTACAGATGTGATCAGGAATGTACATATGTAATGGTATAATTTGAGGTCACGCTAATATTGAATGCTTGTCCTTGTGTATTCACAGGTTCTCACTCACTGATGGCTTTGGCAACATACATAGATGGACAAACGCCATTTCCTGAGTTCAGTGTTGTGGTGATGTTGGATGATGTGCAAATAGCGTATTATGACTCAGCCACATGGAAAACTGTCTATCGCTCTCACAGTGATTCAAAATATTACGATGAAGAGCAAAGGGATGCTGGTGTTGTATTTCAATATATATATAACAACCAGAAAAATTGGGAATTACATTGTAAGGATCAATTAAATAACACAGATCACACAGGTTAGTCTAAGCAACAATTAATTAATACCACACAATAACACAAAACATTTTCACTGCATTTTATATGTGCTATGTCAGTAAAGGCCAGTAGGTTTTAATTAAATTTCTTGCCATTCACATACAGGTGTACATGTTACTCAGAGACTTGTTGGATGTGAATTATTGAACAATGATGAACCAGGTTTATTTAAGTCTTGGGATGCTTTTGATGGACAAAATATTGGGGATCTCACATTTGACATGGAAAAAAATGAAATCCACAACACAATGCAATGGGGAATAACATGGGAGCAAGGACAACAGCGTCATGTAAAGTACGTTCTTCAAAATGTTTATCACCCTATTTGCATTAAAACCTTGCGGAGGTACCTGAACATGGAAAAGAACAATGTCATGAGAAAAGGTGAGTGACTTATCCTGATTAACCTCAGTATGGACCAGTCAGCAGTGCTGACAGAAAATACCTTTGCCTTTGATTGCTTTATGAATCATGATTACCATAAATTAATAACTAAAGCAATAAACTTAACAGTTTTACAACAGTAACACTTTTATGTAGTGAAGCCCAGAGTCAGACTCATGGAGAAGACACTCTCAGACTCTCAAGGGCTTCAGATCAGCTGTCTGGCCACTGGTTTTTACCCCCGTCACATTAACCTGACCCTGTTCAGAGATGGTCAGCCTGTGGATGATGATCAGATCACAGGAGGAGAGATTCTGCCCAACGGAGACGGAACTTACCAGATGAGGAAGAGTTTGGTGATCAGTGAAGAAGAACTATGTGAGGAACATAAATACAACTGCACAATGAAGCATCTCAATCTGGACAACAAACTGGACTTTACATTTGGTAAAGAAAAACTAACAAACGTTCAAGCCATGCAGCTTTTGAGTACATTAAAACCAAATCAAACAGTACATTTAGTAATCAAAATGATGAATTAAAACAGGCCTACTTTGAATAAGGTAAAAATCCTTTCTTATATAGGCTATGATTTTATTCTCCAGTTTCATTTATCTTACCTTAATTTCAGATGTGGCTGAATCTGACCCAGGATCATCTACGCAGTCTGTAGTTTTCAGTGTGCTGGTGTTCATGTGTGTGGTTGTTCTCATCATAACTGCACTCATCATATGGAGGAAGAGACAAGCTGCTGGTAAATGATCTGTTCTGTCCATTTCATTACATCTAATTCTGTTTAAACATTCACATACACAGTTTTGTGTGTCTAGTGTTTACTATGTGTCATTTTTGTTCAGGACGAGGATCTGAGACATCACACTGTAAATACTCTCCTACTCCATGTGAGTACACTGTGTTTTAAAGCATTTACAATTAAAAATGTACAAGTTATAGGCATTCAGCAGCATGTTCAATTTGATTTGAGAAACTTGTAACGAAAGGATTTTTTTTTTTTCAGCTTCTGCCTCTAATGAAAAGTGAGTCTATCTTAGGTAAAAAATTAAGGTCAAGACAATACATGCAAAACCTAAAATATCTTAGCATTTGCTTGTTGGACGCCAACGATAATGACGAGTAAAAAGATGGTAAATGAAGGAATGTAATAGGTACACAACAATAACAAATTATTGCAGCTGCATTCCTCGCTGGTACAAGGTAATCTATTTTTGTCTTTAGAAATGTCTAAAACTTTGATTGGAGAATAGCATTGAATTTTGTTTGTTTGTTATGAACAAATTGCATTTGATATTTGATCATTGGAAATATATGTTTTGATTAAAATCCCAGAAAATGTAACCTGAATATAATGTATATTTCACAATGTGCTGGTTTCTTAATTAAGTTTCAAGAACCACTGCACTACTTTTGAAGGATCTAAGGATCCTCAAATGCAAACTGTGTGTGTTGCTTTAAGAGAGCAACCATACATTTGTGTTGTGTTTTACTTTCTTTCTTTTATATTCATTTATTCTTCATTCATTTATTAATTCATTGATTCATTCATAATCATTTATCATTTAATTGTTTTATGATTGCATTTAATCATATAATCATTTATAATAACCATTTATATACTAATTACATTTATTCATTAATTGATTAGTCATTTATATTACATTATATTGTTGTTTTTTATATATTATTTTTCCATTGTTGTTTAGTCTTATGACTGTGTGTTTCAAGGGCTGTTTGTCTTCATGAATAAGAGATAAGAGGGAATGTTCATGGAAATTCAAGGTCAGATGAAATCTGAGCATTGAGACATACTCAACTGATTCAATAAACTTTTTTTTTATCATCACTTCGTCTCCTGCTTCTGCTATTCACTGGCTTTACTCAGTCAACTTCTTGGCTGATAGAAGACTGTTAGAGTTTTGGTTATTTTGGGTAACAGACAAGACTTGCTGTTAACAGGTTATGGGTGTTAGGCAATTTTGCTGACTAGTTGTTCTGTTACCAGACAAAATTGATTTTTCTGACAGGATCTGGCATTTGGGGCTGGATCCTAATTATCTGGCAGGGAGGCATGATCTAACACTGTGAAGGAGCCAATGTGTGTATGGTTTTAAGTTATCAGAATCTTTTGTTGTGTGCTGTGTTTTCGTCACATGTTAGAGATAAAACAATGTCTCCATCTCTAGGTTTTTAACATCATATGATAACATTGTGAAGCAGTAATTGTCCATAGCCCTTGCTTTGGTATAATAACACTTGTTAAAATTGTGCTGGTCAGACAAATTCAGAATGAAAGACAACTATTATTCTATAAAGTCTGCTAATTTTTACCATCACTTCTGCTTCCTGCCTTTGTTTGCTCTCTTGATAGAAGAGTTGACAAGACTGGTTTTGGATATTTAAAAAAAAATGCAGTATGGGATGAAATTAGACTCAAAATGATTAATAGATGCACGCACAGTTATCCATGTACTGCATACATTTTATACATGTATCTTACTAACCACAAACAAATTCAGGATTAAATGATTGTGCAGCGATTTGCACAAATACAGATATGTTTGCGAATAAAAATGTTTTGTTCTGCATTAATATATCATAAATTGCTCGTTGAAAAATTCGCAAATGTGCGTCACTACACTGAAACAAATGCTGTAAACTGCGAAAATGAAGTCTCAAAATCCAAATGAGACGAACAAGAAAGACTCGAACTAGACATCAATTAATGCACGGTTGTCACCTGATCCACATATGCACGGATTCTTTTTTGCATGAGCAATTTATGATATATTAATGCAGAACAGAAAATTTTTATTCCCAAACATATCTGTATTTGTACAAATCGCTGCACAATCATTTAATCCTGAATTCCACAGACTCAAATTGAAAGGCATTTGTTTGTGGTTAGTAAGATATGTATAAAATGTATGCAGTACATGGATAATTGTGCGTGCATCTATTAATCATTTTGAGTCAAATTTCATCCCATACCCTTTCTCCCCATATTAGCGATGCCCCTGATGTTGGTGTGAAACTGTTATCAGAGACTGAAGACATGACACTTCACGCACACCGACAGGTGGCAGTAACTGCCTTGTTACACGCCAAAAATGAAGAAGAAAAACAACAACAAACTGTCCAATCAAAATATTACATATTAGGGAAGCATCCAAATGGACTATGTGAACAATGCAAAGTAGAAGAAACAGTGACCCATGCAATTCTTGAATGTAAGAAATACGAGGAAGAAAGAAGTAATATGATAGTTTAAATCAAGAAGAATGGAATTCAGGTGGTACATTTTAAATCTTTAATAAAATGGGCAAGTGAAATAAATAGTAAAGCTTTCTTTAATTTTCTTAAAAGGACGGGATTAATAAGTAGAATGTAACTCTCTGTTCCACACTCCGGAGCAGAAGGTGGCGGTAATGCACCTAATTACGCTGGTTTCCAGCCGCAAGAAGAAGAAGAACAACAACAAACTGTTGATAACGGACAATAATCACGATAAGAGGACACTCTTAAAAGTACACCTCACCTGTACTTTTTTTTCCTGAGCCACAGGAGAAAATGCTCACTCTTGTGTGTATGTTGACTTTTTGGCCAGTCGTTAACGCAGGTATGTTAGTGCTGCTATCCTGTATATTTCAAGCATATGGTGAGGTGAGCACATCTGTGTTTTTGAATGTCTGTGCACTGCAGTGTGCACTAAATCTTGCTGCAAATGCTAGCTTGGTTTTTGCTGGTTAAGTTTTTGGGGAATAGTGCAGTTTTGAGAATCTTTCTTTTGGAAAATACTGCTTAGGTTGTTTACTGCCTAATTAATTTAAAAAGCTGTGACTTCTGAAAATTTGTAGTCATGCGAACAATTTTTTGCCTAATTATTTAGCAGTCTGTGACTTTTAGTATCTTTTAGTGTTGAAGTAAAACATTGACCGTAATGACCACACATTTTATTGGACCGTTTACTTTATTTGTTTAAAATTTCTGTCTTCTAACTTGATAGACGGATAAAGTGAGCTTCTGTCACTGTGCGTCTGCTCAGGCGCTGGGTTCTATCGCTGTCAAAATAAACGTTCCGGCGCTGTCATAATAGTTCTGACACTTTGCAATTTACAGATATATGATGCTATATTTAGAAAATTTAGTTTTATTGTAATGTGAGAGAAAGATGGGTCTTCGTCCTCTCAACGTTTTTTTTTTACCTTCCAATACCTAAACATCTTATAGCTGTTTTTATGCTTGAGTTTTTTTTTTTTCTTTTTGCAGAGGCTGTTTGCATTAGATGTTATTTACACGAAGTACAAATAGCTGACACTTTTTAAGTGTAAAAAGTGTTTAGATGCTATTTATAATTAGTGTAAATGAGAGATAGTATTTGCACTTCAATGTATTGTAGTACATTATAAAACAGTAATAGCCTAATAACAACATAATCAGTGTATGATCATTTTTATTAACATAATACATTGATGTTGCCATGTAGGTACCTTATTTGTCCCTAACACTAAAACCCACTCTACTCCTACTGAACCTGTGGATCGGTAAAGGTATTCTTGAAGGTCCAAGAAGGGAGACACATTTTTTGAGTATTCAGTATGAGCTGCATGCCTTGTTGTCGATGTGCATTGCAGTTCATGTAAACAGCCTTTGACAACAAGTCAAGCCATTTTTTCTTTCCACGGCCTTTGGCTTTTCTAACCAAACAAATAAAAATAACTTGATGGTTTCTGGCCTCTGTGTCCCTTTCTGTAGAGGTTTGCAGGAACGCAAATTTGCATCTACAGTAATGATGTAATTTGACATTGTACTAATATTGAATGCTTGTCCTTGTGTATCCACAGGTTCTCACTCACTGATGGCTTTGGCAACATATATAGTTGGACAAACACAATTTCCCGAGTTTAGTGTTGTGGTGATGTTGGATGATGTACAAATAGTGTATTATGACTCAACCACGTGGAAACCTGTCTATCGCTCTCACAGTGATTCAAAATACTATGATGAAGAGCAAAGTGATGCTGGTGTTGTATTGCGTGATATGTATTATGACATGAAAGATCGAGCCTTTTATCTTAAGGAGCACCAAAATCACACAGGTGGTGAGAGCTATAGTCTACATATCAATATCAACACACAAAACATTTAATAACACATGTAGCTTTTATGTGTCTATTATTTTTTCCTTAAAATCAATCATCTAATTTTTGTCATTGTACTCTTTAGTACATGTAGCTTTTTTGCTTCTACATCAATTTTTATTTATTTATTTCACATCTTATATTGTACTGTGTTATTGAAGAATAATACATCTTAACTTTTTTTCATTCATTTGAAGGTGTACATGTTCATCAGAGACTTGTTGGATGTGAACTGTTGAACAGCAATAAACCAGGTCAACTTCACTACTGGGATGCTTTCGGTGGACAAAATATGGAGGAGTTTATTTTTGATGTAGGAAAACACGCTATCCAGATAAAAATGCCGTGGGTGATAACATGGGACCAACTAAAACGGGTTCATGAAAACTTTATGTATGAAAATGTTTATCATCCTATTTGCATTAAAACTTTGAGAAGGTACCTGAATATGGAGAAGAACAATGTGCTGAGAAAAGGTGAGAGGATCAACCTTATTAACTTGAGTATAATTAAGAAAAAAGCATGATCAAAAAATATAACCCAGACAGCTGTGCTAACAGAGAATGTGACTCTGAAAACTATATGAATCATGCTTATGATAAATGAATGACTGATGCAATGAACCCAACAGTTTAGCAACAGTAACACTTCTCGTCCTTCTCTGTAGTGAAGCCCAGAGTCAGACTCATGAAGAAGACACTCTCAGACTCTCAAGGGCTTCAGATCAGCTGTCTGGCCACTGGTTTTTACCCCCGTCACATTAACCTGACCCTGTTCAGAGATGGTCAGCCTGTGGATGATGATCAGATCACAGGAGGAGAGATTCTGCCCAACGGAGACGGAACTTACCAGATGAGGAAGAGTTTGGTGATCAGTGAAGAAGAGCTACGTGAGGAACATAAATACAACTGCACAATGAAGCACCTCAATCTGGACAACAAACTGGACATTATTTTTGGTAAAGAAAAACTAACAATTAAGGAAAATGCCTCTTTGGAAATGAAATTCGACATTAGGTTTAATAACAAAAACTAACTTTATATAACTAGCTTACTGATTTCTGTTTTTTTTTAATTGCTTCACCCCAATTTCAGATGTGGCTGAATCTGACCCAGGATCATTTACGCAGTCTGTAGTTTTCAGTGTGCTGGTGTTCATGTGTGTGGTTGTTCTCATCATAACTGCACTCATTATATGGAGGAAGAGACGAGCTGCTGGTAAATTTTAAGTAGAAAGGTAACAAAGATCAATTTATCTGATATTCAAGTAAACTGGTGAAGCAACAGAAAATACTTGGTTCTTTAGTGAAAAAGAAAAATGAATCTGTGTTCACCATATCTAAGTCTCAAGTGTAGTTTAGTGATGCTCTAAACTTTATTATAGTGTAAGTGTGTACCTTCTTCATTCTCATTTAGGTTCAGTTTCCAAGACAACCCAGAGTCATTACACTCGGACTCCAAGTGAGTAAACATTATTTTATTATTATATTTGTACTACTTTAGTAAGTGATGAAATAAAAAAATGTGTAAATATAGTTTTTTTTCCAACACTTTTTTCAAAAACATATACAATAATTATTATAGCATTTATATCTCAGTTGTTCTTTAAATGTAATCTTTTGCATTATGAAGTAACGTCTTTATCTTTGTTCTGCTTTAGTGCGAGATGCAACTTGAAAAAAAATTAGCCTGTATGGACTCAAATTGATGAGGTAATACACACACAGTATTTGGTCTCATTTGTTTCCTGTGGATGTCGGTGGCTCTTATTGGAGTCTTTGATGGGACATTGGAAAGTTGCTCATCAAGCTGTATCCTCTTATGAAGAATGCACCTCAGTATGACACGCTGCTCAAAAATAAGACTGATCGAAACACAATGATGTAGGAGTTTTTTTTATATATATTATTATAACAGTTACAGCGCAATCAAGGTATACTTTTTTTGGCCATTATGTGTGTTTTCCAGGAAAACAAACTGATAAGCTTGAAAATTGCTAGCACTATACTCTGATTAGTAGAGCTACAGGAATACATTTGTAATTGAGCCATTGCATAAATGTATTTGCATCAAAAACATATTCTGTTATGTGGCAAAGACATTCATTTAAATGACATGGGAGTTGGTGCACTACCTTGAACACCTGACACATCCAGTGTTATATGACACCTTATTGATCAATAAAAAACTCTAAAGTTGGTCGTTTTCACTTTCTGTGTAAAACAGAGCATATCACAGAAACGTTGGTGAGATGTGTATCTGTGTCTCATGTCACACGATCGAATGTGACATGTAAACCTAATTCTTAATCCTAATTCACTCAATTTGTGAATATTTTATCACAACCTAATTTAATTGTGATCAATCCACTTAAATTTCTAAAACAGATGTTTAGTTAATCCATTTATGTTGGTAAGTGAATAAGTTTTGTTGCCATTAAATGAAAATGGCCATGAAATTGCTAGTTCCCAGCATGCCTTGCACAGGACTTTATGGGAAGGGTAAACTATGTTGAAATAAGGCAATATTTTATATCTTCTGGAGCAAGGTGAAAAAAAGCTTGAGAACTGTTTTATGTTCTGCTATGTTGGAATTTAAATGTCCTTTGTAACAGAAGGTTGAAGTTTTGGGGTTTTCCACTGTGGTGAAGAGTGTTTACTGGGCACTTTACTTTAAAAATACCAGCCCAGTAAACACAGTGATGTATATATAATGTGTGTGTATATGTATATATATATATATATATATATATAAAGAAGAGTTGCATTCAGCAGGCTACTGTGTCCCACTGCTGGCTATTGGTGAATAGATCTGAATAGAATTGATCCATGTGGACGATCAGAGAATGTTGAATGTGTGCATATTAAACTCTGTCGAAACAGCTTAGGCCAGTATCTATCAGATGAATACACATACAGTACATGTGGTTGTCAGACCTAAAAGAAGAAACATTACGTAAGAATCCACGAACAGAAATTGTGTATAACAGATGGTCATCTAGGTGCTGTATAGGTAAAGGGTAACTGCTTTGTCTTGTAACATTGCTTGCACTGGGTCGCACAGTGGCTCAGTGTGAAGCACTGTTGCCTCACAGCAAAAAGTTCCTCGGTTGAAGTTCCAATTGAGACGGGGATTTCTGTCTGGAGTTCTCATGTTCTCCCTGTCAGTGTGGGTTTCCTGTAGTTGAATTCTCCTCATGTCTTGCCCAACAACTACGACTGATTTTCTCCTTCTATCTTTTTTTCAATCACTTAGACATTTTCTTTTAAAGGGGTCATATGATGTTGCTAAAAAGAACATTATTTTGTGTATTTGATGTAATGAAATGTGTTTATGCGGTTTAAGATTCAAAAACATTAAAACCCATTATAAACTAGGCATTTGTTGCATCCAGTGGGGACATAATTACAGATTATAATGACTTATACTGTCTTTTTACACGTTGCGTTGCATCGCACCATGTAAACATAAAACCATGTCTGCATTTGTGATCGGAGAAATGACCAACAACAAGCGCTACTCTACACTGCTCAAAACTCGCATTGAAAACTTATGAAAACGTACTTACATTCTGTGAGTCAGAACAGCCGGCATTGTAGTCTACTCTACCAGGATCAGGAAACAGTCCTCCATAAAATGCGCTGCACACATCTGAATATTTGGGTTGAACTGTTCTGGAACAGCATTGTAAATACAACTTAACCACTGATTTCTAGTCATGTCCTCTTTTGGAAGGCCAAACAAAGTAGTTCCGCTTTCATAACGAAACACACAGCGTCACACACACAGCGGGCTAGAGTGAGCGGTGGCTGGCGGGCTTGAGAGAGGAACGGCCGGCGGGCGGATTCGATGAAGGAGCGGGCTTGCGGCAACCACATGTGACGACCCCAGGCTGACTCCGCTTCCAGCATGTAGATATGTGGGGGCGTGTTAGAACGAGCCGTTTTAGGTAGGCGTGGCTGACTCTTAACTTTTATAAAGAATATCTCTTTGGACTTGAGACTTTAGTCTTTGCAACTTTACAGATCTTATTTATTCACAAAGAGCTTGTAACACTCCAAAGAGAAAGGAAAACTTGAAATTGCATCATATGACCCCTTTAAAGAGTTTCTTTTCAGTTTCTTAAAATAAGATGGAGGAGCCAAAAATTTAATAATTATTTCACCACTAGAGGGCAATGTGCACTTTGTGAGTTGATGCAGGTCACCTGTTCAACATCACATGATATTAACTCTCCCTCAAGGTTGTATTGGTCAGGTACAGGTGCAGGAACAAATGTTTTTTTACCATAGCTCCACATGCTTTTATTGTAAATGTTGTTTGTTCTCACCATGTTAAGAAGCTTTGTGGACATTTTATTTCAACATATGAGCAAAGAACACCTTACCAACCTACCCTGGCTTAAGGGAAAGAAACTACATAAGAAATATGATGTCAGTTGTCATCTTGGTTTTGCAGCATTGTAGTTAAGTTATATTTTTTTAATAGTGGCCTTTGCTCAGTGCACTACCAGTGCACTATTGTAAACTGATACAGTCTGTTGAAGAGTGAAAATGTGAAATCACAAGTTTATGGCAATATGTGCAATTGATTTTTCATACTTTTTAAATTTCAAACTATAATAAATAGTATAGCAGAGCTTGGTAAAACTATATGTTAAGAATGTAAGAACATTTAGGTTTCAAGTTAAAAGCAATGGGTTAGCAGGTAAATATGCACTAGAGGGCAATTTTTATTTAATATATACGATTTCAATTTTCTCTGATATTGTTCTGATATTGTGATATTGTTCATTAATATGTATGATAGGTGTCTGGGAGCGTTTTACTGACCATTCTGAAGCAGGATGCCCAACGGCCACACATGCAAAGCAAAGCCATAAAGTGTAATGTTAAAGGAACAGTCAACTCATTATTTATTGAGAAAAGTGATTCAGTGTTACATATCTGTATGTTGTAAAAGTATGCAAACCTTTGCTTTCAGTACTATCTGTTGTGACCCCATTTTGCAGCTTTTTGCAGAAAATTGTAAAAGGTTTCTTAAAAATATTTACAATAAAAGAAAAACATGACAGACACTCACAATTTATAGTACAATCACAATTTATTAATTGTAAAAATGTCAAAAGCAGTACAAAAAGTAGTCCAAATTACGATGTATTGCAGTCACAGTCACAGTCCTCTGTGACAGAATACAATAGTTATGTGTCAAAGTCAAGGTCAGGTTTATTTATTTATATCGCACCATAAAAGCAACATGAGTGCTGACCAAAGTGCTGTAAAACAGACAAAACATGACATATCACCATACAAAAGAAAGCCTTAGAACACATAGATTTTAGAATGGTCAATAACAACTAAGATGATCTAAGCATTCTCTGGGAAGAATAAGGATGAAGAAAATCTGAGATGTAGGTAGGAGCAAGACCATGCAGTACAATCAGTACAATCCTAATCTTTATTTATTTTTTATTTTTTTTGTATTCTATTCCCGTCATTTTACTGACAACTGCTTCTCTAATCTCGGTTCAATGCGGGATTCACAAAATGCATGCTCTTGAAAGATGGCTTAGTACCCAGTTTATTTGGACCAGCTGGCTCCACTGAATCACAACCTGTAAGTATGATACTGTAAATAAGAAATGTTTATATTGTCTATTGAGCATTCAAAAAAACAGAATTATGGCAATGAGTCTATCGTTTCCGACACGTGCTGTACGCAGTACTGTAGACCAATCACAACAGACTGGGCCATCTGACCAATCAGAGCAGAGTAGGCTCACGGAAAGGAGGGGTTTAGAGAGACTGAATCTTGGAACTGTTGGAAGAATGAGAATTGTTGGAAAACTAGGTGATATTAAATGCATATTTTGAGAAAATTAAAGCATTTTTTTTACCTTGATGCATGAAAACCTAAACCCCCAAAAACAATATTAGGAACCTTAAAAATTGAATAATAGGGGCACTTTAAACAATATGATTTCAGACCACATGGGCTAATTTTTATGTTGCAAAGTTTTGCATGTTGTCTCGACTTTAATGTAGGACCATAGACTCACTTGTCATGTTTAATCATGGGTGGAAGCTGAAATGAAGAAGAAGAAAAAAAGGTAGTCATTTCCAGAAAGTTTCCAAAATTAACCAAAGAATTAACATGCTGCATTCATATTACTTTATAAAAAAGTGTACTCACATGCAGTAAGAGAGTAATCACTTTGTGACTTCTTGAATCCTTGTCCTGAATAAGAATGACACAGTTAAACCATGTCCATGATGAATACAGAGTAACACTACAGAAACATGAAACTGCATACAGTGAACTTTGAAAGAGGTCTCTAAAGGAATGAACTTGTCTTTACAGAACATTTACCAGCAGCTTGTCTCTTCCTCCATATGATGAGTGCAGTTATGATGACAACAGCCACACCCATGAACACCAGCACACTGAAAACTACAGAATGAGTAGGTGATCCTGGCTCATATTCAGCCACATCTGACAATGTGGTGAATTAAAAAAGTAATAACAGAAAAAAAACAGTAAGATAATGGACAGATAAAGGTGTTTTTTTATTTTTTATTAAACCTGTTGCATTTTTGATTGTTTTTTAGTTTTTCTTTACCAAATGTAATATCCAGTTTGTTATCCAGATTGAGGTGCTTCATTGTGCAGTTGTATTTATGTTCCTCACGTAGCTCTTCTTTACTGATCCCCAACCTCTTCCTCATCTGGTAAGTTCCGTCTCCGTTGGGCAGAATCTCTCCTCCTGTGATCTGATCATCATCCACAGGCTGACCATCTCTGAACAGGGTCAGGTTAATGTGACGGGGGTAAAAACCAGTGGCCAGACAGCTGATCTGAAGCCCTTGAGAGTCTGTGAGTGTCTTCTTCATGAGTCTGACTCTGGGTTTAACTATACAGAGAAAAATTAGAAGTGTTACTGTTTATGTGTTAACATTAAAGTGTTGGGTTCATTGCATGAGTAAGTAATTATGCTGATGTTAATTGGGTTGATTCTCTCACCTTTTCTCATTACACTGTTCTTTTTCATGTACAAGTACCTACGCAAAACTTTAATGCAAATAGGTTGATATATATTTTTTATCAGAAACCTCATATGAAGTCTTGTTATTTGGCCCCATGGCCCCCATATTATTTTTGTCTGGACATTTTTTTCTGTGTCAAATGTGTATTCT